CACAGACAACCTCTCGTCAATATGCGTTTTTTGCATTGCATTGCTGCAAAAAACGCATAAAAAGTAAAAGATGAACAAAGCCACCAGAGCAAACATGGAACAATTTTTTTTGATTTTTATGCATTTTTTGCAGCCATGCAATGCAAAAACGCATGTTGACGAGAGGTTGTCTGTGTGTCCGTGTGTTTGCGTGCCTGTCACACATTTTCATCTCAAGACCTATAAAAGCTGCAGGGCTGAAATTTAGGGAACTTAATCTACATGCACGTGCCAGTCCCAGTCCCCAAAATGGGCGCCATCACTCGCGTGGTACCCGCGTGCGCGCCCGCCAAAATTTTTTCGGGGTAAGTTCATAACTCGGCGATCTGAGAAGCTAGAACGCTGAAATCTTAGGGGAATGTTCCCTGTCCAAGTGGGTATTAATGAGTTCAAATCCTGCCCGCTGGTAAGCGTGGTACTTACGTACGGGCTCGCGAAAGTTTCTTCCGGGTAAGTTGCTAACTCGAGGACGTGAAAAGCTAGAAAACTGGAATTTTGAGGGGATGTTTCCTGACAGTTCTGGCAGCCAGTCTGAAATTCTTTTAGCAAGAAGTATCTGCCGGAAAAACCAGTGACGTTAGCGACAAAAATCTGCGGGTAGCTATGCAAAAAACGCATCTTCGCACGGGCAGCCCGTGGGCTGCCAATTATTATATATCAATTTAATGCAGTATTTCGCACTTATTATATAATAGGAACAGTCACGCGCTGGCAATGCTTTCAGTGGTGGTTAGACACTACCTAAAATCTACACTATTAGTTTGCAAAAAGCATTACCGTTGACAGATTCGAGCGCAATATTTCGGGAGTAGTGTTTTTTGGTAAGGAAAAGAAATGTTTTTCGGAATAAACTCGAAAGCATTTGCCGGGAGATTCACGGCCTGCACGGCCAGCACGCTGCATAGCCGAAGATTGTGAAACATCTTCCACCCGAAGCACATCGATACCACGATCAGGATGATATGTCCTACAAAATTATAACATAAACCTATGAAACTGGAGGCAGTATTTTAATTTTTATGCGCTTTTTGCAGCTATGCAATGCAGAAAACGCATATTGACGAGAGGTTGTTGGTTTGTGTTGTGTGTGTGTATGTGTGTGTGTGTGTGTGTGCTGCGCGTCTGTGCTGATTTTTCATCTCGAAAACCACAAAAGCTACGGGACTGAAACTTAGGGAACTTAATCTACATGCGTGTGCGGGCCCCCACCTCCGACATGGGCGTTCTTGCCCACGTGGCACCCACGTACGGGCCCGCCAAAATTTTTTTTTTGGGTAAGTTGTTACTCAGGAACCTGAAAAGCTAGAAGGCTGCAGTTTTAAGGGAGTGCTCCTCGCCCAAGTAGGTACTGATGAGTACAAATTCAGCTCTCGGATAAGAGTGGTACCCACGCACCGTCTCGCCAAGTTTTTTTCGGGAAAGTTGCTACCTCGAGAACCTGCAAAGCTACAAGACTGTAATTTTAAGAGGATATTCCCCGTCCACGTAAATCTCAGCGAGCTCAAACCCAGACATCGGGTATGCGTGGCATCCACGTACGGGCCCGTGAAAGTTTTTCTCGAGTAAGCTGCTAACTCACGATCCAGTAAAGCTAGAAAGCTAAAATTTTAAGGCGGTGTTTCCTGACAGTTCTGGCAGCCAATATTAATTTGTTTAGCTAGAAACATCTGCCGGAAAAACAGGTGCCAGTAGCGACAAAAACTGCGGGGAACTATGCAAAAAACGCATCTTCTCACGGGCAGCCCATGTGTTGGCCAATTATTTGTTTTGGGAGGAGTGAGGGCAGGGGGAGCGGGAGCAGAAGTGAACCGAAGCAAAAGATTCTGGCAATACCGCAAGGTTAAAGGGATTTGTAAAAAGCGGGGACGAAAAGAAAAAGCCATCTCTTGCCGTAAGTCATTGAATATGTGCGCTCATCAGCTGCATTTGAGAAGAACGCTCCACAGAACTCAGGCATCGCAAAAATTAACTGTAATATTCTCACAGCAGAGGGTCTAATGCTGAAAATACAGCCAGGTTGCTGAAAACAGCTTCCTTCTTTATATTCGAATTTATCACATTTGTGAGGGACGTCATGCCCAACTATTTCCAGGGGGACCGAGTATGCTAACTTAAATCAGACGAAATCAAACGTATGGCAGCTCTGCTCCGCAGAAATATAATTAAAGCATGTAGGTAAATTTTATGAATTTGCATTTTTTGGAGCAAGCAATTCACGAGATTTTTCGAAGCTTACAAAAAAATTTATTTCTTACACGCTAACAAACACAAAACTTCAAACGTGGCATTTAATTTCTTAGCAGAACGATAAGTCATCAACCTGTTCTTCAATCGCGAGTGAAAAAGATAGTCACTGAGACCTCGCCAACTAGTGCTTGCAATTGGCAAAATGCTACCAGTTCGACCAACACCGACAGCTTCTGCCTTATGGAAAAGGAAATTGCGGGCTTCAACCTTTGAACTGATATTACAGACAATTAAAATGAAAAACACAGATGAAGTATTTAAAAAAAAAAAAAACAATGCGAAACAAATCAGTGCCCAGAAAGTAAGCCCCTGAAAAGAGCTTACTTAGTTTTCACTTTTCCACTATCCACAACAATTCGAATACCCGGTATCGTCAAAGATGTTTCCGCTATGTTGGTCGCAAATATTACTCTCCTTGTACCCTAAAATCGGAGTTTCCTGAGCCGGACGATGAAGCATAAATAGAACATACATCTGACTAGATAAGTGCGTATTTTGGCTATCAAATCTCATTTTGTGGTCCACTTCCTCATCCATAAAATGACTCATCTTCACCACTCCCTAACTCTCCCCCTCCTTCCACCTCCTTCCCCTCCCCGTTCCGTTTTCGTATCATTTCACTTGATCAAAATACCAGAAGAGTTAACGTTTA